AGAGCTCTTCCTACAATACTTCTCGTACTAAATCGATGGGCTCTTCTGCACTAGTTTTGCACCCGGCACTGTCCAAAAAAAATTTTGTACGCTATGTTTTACAATAACGCACTCTTAAATCCGATTGCAACTCAAGGCAACCATTAGAAATATGTATTTATTCTATTCAGCCAAGACCTTTATGTTATAAAGTTGATATAATGCCAAAGCTTGATGTAAAAAAGGACTGTCTTGAACATCTCTAGGCATATTGTTTTGCTGCACCTATAGATCTGAATTCATCAGTTATTTCTAAGCGGACTGGTGAGGGTATGGTAGCAAAATATGGATGCTTCTGGTCAGATTCGATAGTGAATCGCAATGGTTAGCAGTCTCCGTATACACTCTCATTATGCCTGAAGATCTCACCGACTGCTAAGTGAAGGTCATGATCAAAACCCTCGATACTGGTGAGACATTTTTTCAAGAGAGAAAAGAAAAACCACTTCTATAAGACTATCAACGTGCCGAATAGGGGACGCGATTATCATGGACCCGACTCTCCCCCTCCCCACTCCGATGGTGAGTGTACGTGTTTGCCAATGCCAGCCGATAGTATTTACGGGATTCTAAGTCATCCTTGATTTCTTTGCACCGGTCTGTTACTGGTAGTGTTTTTGGGATTCTGAGTCGGCCTGGACCTCCTGGCTCCGGTCTGTTCCCGGGCTGCGGCCACCACTTTCTCGACGGCTACGCCATTTGCATTCCCCGATTCCCCGAAACTCCACTGTGTTGTACGTTTCTCTTCGTTGTTTTGGGGGATGAACAACGAATACGATGCAGTACTGTGACAGTTTTGCCTTGTTTTCTTGTTCCTCTTCTGACAGTGACAGAATCTTGACACTTTCGAAGACACGAGTTTGATTTCATCTGATGAAATCCATAGATTCATGCACTCTTGCCTTCCTCCACTTTGTCGTGCTTGAACAATGCATCGCTTACTTATTCCATTGAAGTAGCTTAGTCGTTAAGGATGACTAACGGAAACAGCATTTCCGTTCAAAAAAAAGAATGTCGTGACCTGACGCTAAAACAAGTGACCGTTTTCAACTACAGGGCCGAACTGAAGCGGATTCTACAGTGTAATGTCGAAGCTGGCTCAAACGAAATCCACATAGAGGTAGGTTACATTCTGTTCTAAGCATATCTTTCTAGAGAATTCCACAGGAGAACCCAAGTATTTCCGTGGAAATCCGGGCGCTCTGCTGAAATAAATCGATCTGCATCGACAGGAAGAAACCACATTTCCTAAGCCATTTCATATGGGAAAGCACGTTGAAATGTTGGAGTATTCTTGCTTATGTGTTGATGAATGTCCACAAGAGTGAAATCCACCACTGTCAGCGATCAGGAGGTGCGTGTAGCGCAGTGGTCGATGGCGCCCTGCAATACACATGGGATCCATCCCTGCGCCCCAGGCCTGCCAAGCCCTCCATCCCTCCGGGGTCAGGAAATTGGTACCAGACTTGTCTGGGAGGTTAGCTGCAGTGGATCGACACATTGGCAGGCCACTGCGAGTCATTATAATGGCCAGATATGCATTCAATCGCCTCAAGCGATGCTTAATGAAGTCGAATGCATGGAGCGACCCTAAGGGACTGATCAACGCCGAGAGCTTTATCCTTTATCTTTTGTCCTTTTACAATCGTGATCCGTATTTTCGTAAGCGATCTTGTTACGTGAGCTGCATTACGAGATGAATTCATCCTTCCAAATCTTTAGCATGGTTATTCTGCGATATCTTCATAATTATGTAGTTGTTACTTGAAACTTTCTCACGTTTCAGAACGTCGCAAATTATATAATTCATGACTCAGTACGCGTCGATGGTCGAGGGAATGGAACCATCCATAATGTTCAACTTCGAGAGAAACCGGCTATCCACGAGGAAACAGATTCACCGAAAGTACATTTCGTGCTTCTCTTTTACTTTCATTCATCCGTTCAGTCCATTCATTCGCTCGTTTAGTCATGCATACATTGAACCGATTTTATAGGTTGCCGAAATACGAGCGAGGTATGAGCACAAGCTGGATGAGATAAATGCTTTGAAGGACCGTGAGAATGTACTGCTGAAAAGGATTGAGGCTCTCGACAAGACTGTTCTAGAGGCGAGGTTTTCTCTTTATTTACAACTTGTGGTTTTTGTCTTGCCTGTTCCTCATTCCCCTTTGTTAGTAACAGTTCCAATTACGAGTTACCGCACTGATATAATAGTGACTACTTTTTGAAGGACTAATGTAAAAGTTATGAAGTTGGATGCTGGAATGGCGTGATTATCAGTGAGCCATAGTGACTTTTTCGTCATGCGTCGTGCCTACTTTCATTTACTTTTTACAAAACCGGACAGCACATATTATGCGGATCCCAGCGATTCTTTTACTCGATTCCGTTCTTCGCATTTATCGTCTGCGAAGGTCTTCGGGTTTGCGTGTGGGTTCGGCCGCTTTTTAAAGGTTGAAATTTTCAATCTTTGGTTAAGGTGGTGTTTGGTTGGGTAGATTGCAGTCAGCTTGACCTTTCAGACTCTGAGGAAGGCGAAATCAGCTGAGATGTTATATTATTCATAAATAAGGAATAAGGTAACAGGCTCATGTTTGCTCATCAAGAGAATAGTGAAATATTCTGAATGTCATCGAATGCTGGTTCAGTCGATTCTCCCCAGAATCTTTAAGTAGCCGTCGGAGGGCGCTTCCAGATCTTCATCACTGTCATTCGCAAGCTTTTGTGGAATGGAAAGAGCGAGTTGATCTCTAACAAGTTCAATACCAGTTTTCCGACACTGGAAGGAAGGGGCTTGCGTGGACTGAACGGAGTTTTAGAAGGGTCTCGCGCATTTTGAACGGCATCACTACCATTATACTATCTAAAATCCTAGTCATTTATAGATGTCGAAATTACGTGTATTGTAAAAATCCGCACTATGCGTTTGTGTATATACGTATTTTTATGTATTTGTACATATATTCGTATGCATCACCTGTTATCTGCTATCTGTCGTGCGGTCAATCATCGAGTGATTCGGGTGGGCGCCACTAACTATTCCATTTTTCCCTGTCGCGTGCAAGAATAGTCCAGTGAGTTCTGTTCGCTCAAGGCACGCGTTGAACATCTTATAGGCTTTTCGTGAAAAACTTTGACCATATATTGCATATATGTAGAAATAAAAGTATGGTTTTACATAGCCTTTAACTTGTCTTAATTCTCTTTCAGTTTGGAAGTTGTGTTGGAAAGTCTCCCAAGAACACATGTGAGTCTCTTCTACTCACTAGGGAAACGCTGGAAAGTCTGAACAATTTCTATACTTTCTATGACGAGAGTTCAGTGACGGTTCGCGCAGGTATTTAGTATATGTACTTCTCTCATTAGTTAAATGTCTCCTTTAGTTTTATTACTTATTTGTTAGAACATCGAAATGTGAAGAAGACCATTGAAAAGGCAAATCGGGAATTAAATGCATTGCTGCTGGAGTTGAACAAAGCAGAAGCGAGCTGCAAAACTCACCAGTTAATCAGGTTAGCCTTCTAATTTTGTCAGGTTCATTTGAGAGTTTCATTTTCTTTACAATTGGTGTTGTTTAAAGTTTTTTTGTTCAACATATTGTCAACAGATCAATTGTTGTCGATTTGGAGAGCAACGAAGGTGGTCTCATTGAGTTGGAAATTTCTTACCAAGTGCACGGGGCTAGTTGGCATCCGAGCTACGACATCCGTGTTGGAACAAGTGGAGAGCAATCACTCAAGGTGATTATGTATACATATGTATATATGCGTGTATGTGTCTATATTTACGGGCTAAATTGAACATGTGTCAACAAAGAAGGACATGAAGTGAAGCGACTCTACGCGTCATGAAGACTGCTTGGTTCTGATTTCGTCTCTTGGCTTATCCCTAAATGGCATCTGTTGATGTTCAATAACTCAGCACTAACCCGTTTAGGATTTCCTAATCTCTTTATCTTCCTATGTACGTCGTATACATTTTATGTATCTATATATATTAATTGGATACTTGGACAGCTCCTCCTCACTGGTTGTGTGGGCGCCAGCATAATCCTCATTTTTCGGAGTTCTGCTGGTTTAGCCATTGTGTTTCCCTATAATCCCGAGGTTAGCCTGACCAGCCTTCTCCAGGTCGTCACCACAACAAGCAATCGCAACCCTTTGTGAATCAGAATGAGATTGGCCACCATGCGATTAGTTTGATACCAGGCTGGTGGTGGATCCTGGTATTTCTTTACCCTTAGCTGGTCTTTCTGGTCTCGTAGTGGTATATATATATATATATATATATATATATATATATGCATATACATATACGTATATACATATGTGGCACAGTGGCCGGAGGCGCTCTGCAACGCACACAGGGATCAATCCCCACGCTCGCGGCTCACCAAACCTTTCATCTCTCCAGGGTTGACAAATTGGTACCAGATTTGTCTGTGAGGATAGCAACACTGGCTCGATACATCGGTGGCCCACTGAGAGTCATTGTAAAAGCCAGATATGCATTCTGTTGCGTCCAACGGTACTTATTGAGGTCGAATGCATGGCGCACTTTATAGGAACTGATCAACTCCGAGTGCTTCGTCTTTTTTTATCCTTTATATATGTGTTTGACGGGGCGCGTGTGGCGCAATGGTCGAAGAGGCCCTGCAACACACACGTGAAATCGATCCCCGCGCCATTGAACCACCGCCTTCCATCTCTCTGGGGTCGGAAAAATGGCACCAGCCTGGGAGGATAGCAACACTGGCTCGATACATCGGTTGGCCACTGCGAGTTATTGTAAAAGCCAGATGCGCATTCAATCACTTCCAAACGATGATTAGTGAAGTCGAATGCATGGCGCATCCCTCACGGTTTGATCAACGCCGAGAGCTTTATCTTTTTTTATATTTATACGTATACATGTATATGCATATATACACATACACATATATATGAGTTGGTTTCTGAATGATTTTCTTACGTAACGCTTTACGTTGGCAGATCACATATTATGGGAACATCTCACAAGCAACAGGAGAAGATTGGTCGAATTCTCCGCTGGTTCGTTTATTTCCTACTTTATATTATTTATAGTATGCCTTATTAACTGTATTAGATGTGGGTACTCATTTCCCTAGATTTCCTTTCTACTACTTTTAGATGTTAAGTTAAAAATTTAAAGAAAGAATAGATATGGTTTCTACAGGACAGGTTTTATAGAATTAGGGGAAATATGAGCAAAAGTTTTATCTTCACTTCAATCTTAAAGGTGCTCTCCTCTGCTCAGCCTTGTCTGGGAGGACAAATTCCCGAGCTTGTTACTTTGGAAGCGATTTTCTATCGTCCTGTACGGGCACCAAAGGTAGGACACTCATACATGGAGAGGACTTCACAGTGAGTTTAAGTCAGTTTAACGTCTTGTTTGACAAAGTCTCACTCTTCTTACGATGTCCACGTGCTTTCTCAGACGAGCCAGTGTCAACTCCTTGTTCGATGCTCCTCCATATGAAGCGTCTTCAAGTTGCGCTCCGTTAGAATACGCAGCAAGTTCCATGTTCTTCGCAGAAACTATTCTTTCCGCGTTGCAGTTGTAAGTTTACTGTTAATAGGTGGCTTCTGTTGCTCCATCTGAACGAAACGCGTTGAGCACCGAATTTAAGATTTCTAAGCCTGCCGCTATTCCATCGGATGGTTCTGAGCACAAGGTGGGAAACATAATTGATGTTTTAGGTCCTTATTTCCTACGAAAGCTTTTAGGTTGTGATTGGTATCATTGACGTCATTCCGCAGTTCATTCATCAGTGCGTACCGTCAAAAAATCCGAACTGTTTTTTAATAGCTTTCGCAATAAATTCATCTTTGTTTCCATTATTGGCGGGTGATGCTGCTGTCTACCTTAACAACAGCTTTGTTGCAAAGGTACGAGCATAATGAATACCTGAAGATATCGCGAAAGATGTTTCCTGAGAAGTGTGATTTTTGAGAATGCATCGGCGTATTTTCAGACGAAGGTTAAAAATGTGTCGCCAGGTGAGAGCTTCACCTGCTGTCTCGGAGTCGATCCAGCTCTTAATGTCGACTACAAGCCTGTTAAGAAGTACCATGAGCAGGTCCGATATCTCTACGGCGTTGAGCCTTTGTTTAATGCTTGTTGGAATTTTGTTTAGGTCGGCCTAATCAGTAAAATCTCATCGACCGTTTATGAAAAAGTCATTGTCGTAAGGAATTCACGTAGAGATTCAGTACTACTGACTATCAAAGAACAGATTCCATGCAGCACTGATGAGAAGATTAAGGTAAGAATGGGTCAACGCCTGTAGACTCACAATAAAGTCTACTTCTGTTCTTCTCAATTGTAATCTAGCTCGTATTACATTTTAGGTAAAGCTCATTAAACCGGTGATTCCTACTTCCGAGAACACACCGAACAACGAAGCGGGTGAGATTCTTACCTCGAAAGTTTTATTTTTTACTATTTATCATTTATTAATAGATCAGGAACAACCCACTTTGATTCTGTTGCTTGCGTGCTCGGAAAGATTTTCTCAACTTTAAAAAGTATATCTCAGCTTGTAGTGAACTCCACTAATGAAAACGGAAACATTGAAATCTACATATCTTTCTGACAAGGCAGCTTTTTTTTTACCATATCGCGATAAATTTCTAATTTTTTAGAACCAATAAGACCTATTTGTTGGTCCTTCTCGTTGGGTCCGCGTTTTAATTACAGAAGCAATCAAATCCTCGAAATTTCGTAGAACACAACACAATGGTCCCTCTCAAAGGGCAACTTTGCCATTTTCGGGCTCTGCACATTGTGTCGAAATTTTTGAAAATCTAAGCATAGTTTTCGTTTCCCTCACGTAAATTGACGTGTTACCAAGTTTAAGGTTTAGAGTAATGTTTTAGACGAATTATTTCTCCAGCTAGAATGATGAACTCTTTTATAGGTTTGGACGTCTCTTAGATTAGATTTTTCACTGATCGAAGAATTACCACAACTTTTTGAAAGGCCACCTTGTTCGCAATTGTGTTAAGCAAGGGAATTCTACTTCATGTATATACCATTGCAGGTGATATTGTCACAATTACCGAACTTCCGAAAGAAGGTAGTAAGTTGGATAATGGCATTCTTGAGTGGACAGTCGTCATTCATAGTGGGAAATCTACTGAACTACATGTGAAGTGGGCCATAGAGCACCCCAAGGACGAAATTGTCCGCATTGTAGAGCGCCGTTAAGTTATGGTATTTTCCCTGCTATCCTGGTACTGTATGTTTAATGAAATTTGATCGTAGTTCACACGTTTGCTAAGGTTGTTCTAATCCTCTTTGTATTGTTAATTTGTAACGCTGATGTCAAGATCCCATCATTTACACGCTTGATTGCTACTTCATAAGAAAATCCTGTTAACGTCACTAAGCATAGAGGTCTGTGTTAGTAAGTCTTTGTGTCCGATGTGTCCTACAGATCCACTTCTACTTTATGGTTAAATAAACATGGCTCAAAAGTTTATTGACTGATAATATGTCTAGGTCAGAAATCAGTACCCACGACCGACTTTCTATTAACCTCGGTATTGATCGAACAATTCCTTACATTCATGTTGAGGAAATGCGAAGTGTTATTTTATTCTTCACGAACAAACTGATGTTTTCGCAGATTTCGTCTTCGTCAAAGTCTAGATAGGTTAAGTTGACCAGTTTCGGTTGACAAATCAATACCGTTGTTTTGGCCATTGTGCATATGAAGAAACGGACCGTCCTGCTGGACCGTTACCACGTTTTTCCTTTTATTTGTTTTCATTAAGTACAACTTAATTGAATGATTCACTGTGCCACCATGGCCAACGGCTACATCTAGGACAGCAAATTTGGGCATTCTTTGTAAGGTGGTGTAACTTTGATTAACACTCTAACATTAGATTCTTCTATAAATAAAAGGCGATAGTTGGTGGTCTTTGTTATGAAGAGTTTGCGCCGACGACCATCCCAACTAGTTCTAGTACGCTTCTCAACGCGCCTCATCGTGGCCAGGAGCTGTTCTTAGGTGTCGGGTTGCGATGAACAGTGGAACGATTCATTCCCCAGCAGGGCTTTCGAAGCTGAGAAGGAGTCCAGATTTCTTATCAGGAAGCCCAACTAAGAGTGAACCAATACCAGGATCCACTACCGTCCTGGTATCAAATTAGCCGCATGGTGGCCAATCTCCTGAGTCACGAGGGTTGCGACTGCCTGTGGTGGTGACGACCTGGAGAAGACTGGACAGACTTAGCTCAGGACTCCAGGGAACTACAATGACTAGGCAGCCAAAACTCTGAATGTTATTGATCCGAACAGAATCCTCCCATAGCCATGTCATACGATCTGCATAGGGATGATTTGCACTGTATGTGTGCATTCACGGAAATCCTCTCTATTCTGCCGATTATTCCACAACTTTCGCCACAGATTTAATTCTGGCACACATGTTTCTGGAGTCAATGTGTCACATTAACCCTAGTTTGTTTCCTGTTGTCTCCAGAAAGTCCATCCATGCCATTATCTGACTTCGTCCGTCTGCACTTTGGAGGAAGTCTGCTTTCATCTTCAGTATTACAAAACGTTCATCTCATGTCCCTCTTGGACAGTGCCCTCTCTCTGTATTTCATCTTCCGCAGTACATTTTCAAAACCTCTCTTATCTGTTGAGTTTAACGTTCAGTAAGACTTTGTCCATTCACTTCTTTTTACATTGTGGTTTGCGAGCTTGTCAGTTTAAATAACGAGCCAGTGGGATGTGTGGTTTCATGGTTCTGAAGTGCAGTGCTCGGAAGCGCTCCGCGACACACACATGGGTTCGATTCCCGTGCCCTTGACTCATCAAGCTTTCCATCCTTCCGGGGTCGGCAAATTTATATCAGACTTGTCTGGGAGGACAGCTGAACTGGCTCAATACATCGGTAGGCCACCGTGAGTCATTGTAAGAGCCGAATATGCATTAAACCACTTCCAACGATGCTTAATGAAGTCAAATCCATGGCGCATCCGTCAGGGATTGATCAACGCCGGGAGCTTTTTAATTTTTTTTATGGTTCTTAAGCACTGTTTTAACATATGTAGCATCGTCGTGTCTATAGATATTCTCTTTATAGGTCTGTAAGCTTCCGTTTTATGGGAATTTCAAGACATGAAGTCAAGTAATTGATTCGTATTCTTGGTTTTTCCAGGTTGGAGGTTTCAAGGTCAAGTTCATTGATGGTTTCGAAGGTCTTTTATCCTGTTCTCAAGTAGTCAGTAGAAGTCCTTGTCGTCATTTCTTCAGTGGTAAGTTTCTTTCCTTCCACATTATTCATACCAGAATAGCCACCCCAGTAACCTAGCGCTTCTCATGTGCTTGATGCAGAGTTTGGTGCTATTCAGGGAAATATTGATTATAGCGAATGGAAATTATAAGTGTCAAATGTCAGTGTAAACAAAGCTTACTAAGGCTTCTTGTCCGTTTGCGCTGCTAGTTCACCTAGCTTCATGAAACCCCTAGTGATGGTCGCAGTACGATTTTCTTCCATAGCTATGACATGAGTATGGAAGAGTTCTGGAAAACTCTAAATTTGGTTTGTATTGCGAATTGAAGACCTCTATGTGCATTATTGTTGGTATACTTCATTCATTTTTCCCCTTATGCTTTATTATCACAGAACGGCATAGCTCAGCGAACTGAAGTGTTTTCATGTCTGGTTTTGTATATGAAACATAAGAAATCAATAATCCATGAGTGCAAAGTGTGTGAAATTAAGAACAAATTTGTTTTCGCGGGAGCAATCAGTAAGCGATCTTTGCTGCGATATGTTGAGGTGACTATCCGTGTCCTCCCAACTGTTTACCGCCTCATCGTGGCTGGGAGCTCTTCATAGGTGTTGTTGGGCTGCAATGTACAGCGAGGGATTCATTTCCCAGCAAGGTCTCGCATGTTGAGAAGGAATCCGGCGTTTCCATCAGGAACCCCAACTAAGAGTAAACCAATACCAGGATCGACCACCATCCTGCTATCAAACTAATCGCATAGTGGCCAATCTCCCTCTGATTCACAAGGACTCTGAAAAAATGATAATTATACCAGGGTCCGCACAACTAGCGAGAAAAGGATGGATCCTTTATCTAAGTATCTAAGTAAGTAAGATTGTCCATATAGGTCAAGTGGACATTGAGAGTTTTTGTGTATCTTGAAATCGCAAATACATTAGCTCCATCGTGGATTGGTTAGTATTAGGACTGAGCAAGCGATAGTATTTAATTTTCTCTTCAGGTTTTCATGAATATCCTCCTCATTCGAATACCTTTGAGGCTTTTATAGATGCTCAAAAGGAGCAGAAGGTAAATATATTTATGCTTATTGAATGGGTAAAGAGGCATCTTTAAAACCACCAGATTTTCGAACCTCTCACAAATACCATGATATTACAACTCCAAAAAGCACGAATATCCGAACGTTGTAGGAACTCAAGCATGGATCTATTCATAAACAACAGGAACCAATATCTGTGAATGCCTATGTGATCTGGATCGGGAAGGCAAAATGTTCAGTGACAAGGACGGAGAACTGAGTGAAAGCAAGCAAGCAAGCAGATGACTTGGGGATCATCCAGTAGTATTGGAAAACTAAGGAAAACACCGCTCCGACTTTTTGGCCCACATTCGTACCGGTGTCTTTGTACGGGCAGCGACCCGAATCCAATGTTAATGGTCAAAAGGATGTTGAACAGTGTCAACATTGGTATTCTTCGGCTCGTTTTCACAAAAAACTATGAAAAAAGATGAGACTGGAATGAGATAGGAGATACAGAGGCTGAGTTTTGAAGAAAGGCGAAGTCTTCTATATAATTAGCATCGGCGACTTAAACACTAAAACTGGCTGCAGTTGAATTACCTTCTACCATAGTGTCTTAATCTTCTCGTCGAGTTGTAGCCTTGATAAACTGATAAAATGGTCGCATAATATGAACATTATGTTGCCTCATTTGTCTTTTCCTTCAAAATCAGTACGCCGCTTCTGTTCTGCAGGTCCGTCATGGCGACGTGCTTTCCTGCGGTTGAGGTAGATTATATTGAGAGTTTTTTATTCTTTTACCGCATATATTAACCATCCAAATTTTCCTCTTAGGCGAGCTCAGCTTTTAGGAAACGCTTCCATAATAATAATTAGTTTGCTTATGCTTTCCTTTATCCAGGAAACATTCGCTGAACCTTATCACAAGTGACTCAATCGCGGTTCTAGTTTTGACACTTCTGAAGGTGTCATTGTCGATGTAACTACATTGGTAGATGTGTAACCACTTTTCGTGCCCAGTATGAATAACTTATACCACTTGTATGTTCTTATGAACTGATCTGGTTGAGCTTATGCTTATGAGGTATATTTTCGTTGTTGTTGTCATTGTTGTTGCTTTGGTCGACGTCTAACCTTTCGGCGATTTCGCCTTCCTGAGTGCCGTGCTGTTGCGAGTGAGACTGTGCCGGAATTTCTGTCATTGTTTGTTCTCTTTGTATGGGATATATTGATGGAATCGGAGTTTCCTCTAAACAGGTTTGCCAATATGCTCATATTGAGAGTGAAGTTCTTTTATAAGGCTTTTACCTTACCGGTTCATCTCTTACTTGATACTTAATACTTGATTGGCCCGTCCTCACTGGTTGTGCGGACCCCAGCACAATCACCATTTTTCGGAGATTTGCTAGTTAAACCATTGTGGTTCCCTGGAATCCCCGAGGTCAGCCTGGCCGAAGTCTGCCCCAGGTCTTCACCACCATGGGCAGTCGCAGCCCTTGTGGATCAGAGGGAGATTTACCGCCATGCGACTTTGATACCAGGACGGTGGTGGGTCCTGGTATTGGTTTACTCTTAGCTAGCCTTCCTGAGGGAAACGCCGGACTTCTCAGCTTGGGAGACACTGCCAGGGGATGAATCGCCCGCTGTACATTGCAGTGCGACACCCAGGAAAACCTTCCACCCACGATGAGGCGGCAAACCGTTGCGAATGTTTCATTTCTAGTTTTCGAAAATAATATAATACTGTTGATTTAAGTCTCTCACGTATGAATTGCTCGATAATGTGACGGTTATCAAATAGATCGCTCAATTTGTTTTGTTGTTTTCTATTGTTGTTGTTTTTATATCCAGTATTTGTGAAAACTGTATGAAAGTTTTTATAGCCACGAGTCTGTATTTACGTGTAAGTTAGTGGTTTGCTCTTACCCCTACTTTGTTGCTTTATGTTTCTTCCTGTTCCTGCATTCACAATGCCGTTAGCTGTTTTGTTTTAGGGAAATTAGTAGGACTCGAAGGAGGTCATTGTTACCAATCATTTCGGCGACCGGCGTAGCTGCATTTTTTACATGGTGGCCTGCAAAAGCTGTAATGTTACTGAGCTGTTAAGTCATATTCTTATCTGTGAAATAGTCCACATTCGTGTGTGAGATATTGCGGATTCGTACCAGCAGGTGGTTTATAAAACATGATTTTGTCACAGTTTTATCCAAAACGGTAGAGTTCTATGTGGTGCCATGGATTCTTGGTATAGTTACGCTCCCATAGCCTTATTTTACACTTACTAACCTATTAATTGCCTTGTTTCCCAACAGTTTACCGCCTCATCGTGGTTGGGGGTGTTTCTGGGTGTTGGGCTGCTATGTACTGCGAAGCGATTCATTCTGTCGGCAGGTTCTCCTAAGATGAGTCCGGCGTTTCCGTCAGGAAGCCCAGGCAAGAGGAAACCAATGCCAGGATCCACCATCGTCCGGATATTAAGCTAGTCCCATGGTGGAAAATCTCCCTCTGATCTGCAAGGCTGGCAACTGCTTGTGGTGGTGACGACCTGGGGCAGACTTTAGCCAGGCTCACTTCGGGACTCCAGAGGACTACAATGGCTAGACCAGCAAAACTCCGGAAAAAAACAGAAATTATGTTGGGATTCGCACAACCAGTGAAGATGGGCCATCCAACAATCCAAATTGTAATTGCATCTCGTTTGGAGCTGTAGGTGCAAGGACAGTGGCCGGATTTCGACTTCTTGGTCTTTGCAAATATATTTTATTTCAAATATTCGTCATCAGCATTATTGTTTTTTACAGGTATTATTTCTTGCTTAGAAACTGGACATGTAGTTCTTTCTGTAAAACATGATTTGCAGTGGTTTGAGGTTGCTTGAAATCAGGCTGTCAAAGCGAGAATTGGTGCCATTGCACTTCATCAGTTCAAGTGTGTATGTATTTCGTCGGATAGGGTTACCTGACAAAAGTAACCGATTTGCGGTTCACATGATGATCTGGGGTGGAAAGTGGTTAGGGTATTATAGATGTTCAGCGGAAGAACTGAACTATGCTGAACTTCCCAAAATTTTGCGGTATCAAGACGAGGTGATGGGGACGTTTTGGTGGTACACATATGAAGCCTTCAGCTGAGTTTCGAAATTATCGAAATAGGTAAGTGTTATCGAGAAATCAGCAACGTGGACCAACAAGTGGCACATCTGAGACGGGATAAAAAATGAAGGATAAAGCTCTCGGTGTTGATCAATCTGATCAATCCCTGAGGGATGCGCCATGCATTGGACTTCATTAAGCACCGTTTAGAGGTGATTGAAGGCATATCAGGCCTTTACAATGACTCGCGATGGCCTACCGATGTATCGGGCCAGCACTGCTATCCTCTCAGTCAAGTCTGGTACCAGTTTGCCGACCCAGGAGGGATGGAAGGCTTGGTGAACCACGGGCGCGGGGATTTCCACGTGTGGCGCAGTGGTTGGAGGTTGGACGCCTCCAACCACTGCGCCACACGCGCCCTTGAGACGAGATATGTCAGCAAGTTCTGTTGAGCCATATTATTTTGCTATATATCGCAGAGCTAGTGCCGAAGAAGTTGAACGGACTGAGCTAAGAAGCTCTGTATATCAAAACTATTGTCGATGGATTAATGTCTTTCAAACATTTCCGCAATTGCTTTAAGGGAAAGACGTCCAACAACCCTAGCCGATTCTGCAAACGATTTTCGAGCATTCGTCCCTTACGGAATTTAACAGTGCATCTTACACTTGCGGTAGAAATGTGTATATTCTAGTATTTTTGTTTCTTTATTTTGATTGTAGCCCTTGCGTTTTAGTCGAGTTGTGGTAGTCGCGGGTCAAAATTCGCCAATATTTTGCACTAACCTAGTAGTATGTGGTGACTTATGTAAATGTGATCAACTATCCTAAAAAGTTTTGTTTTTTTTTCTTATTCATTCTACATAGCCCGGATCACATCTACTGTGCGGATACCAGCACTTCTTGCATTCGATTCGTTATACTCGCATTCGTCGTCCAGAAAGGTCTTCGAACATTTCGAGTGTTGTTCAGGCCTGAGGATTTTATCTTCTTCATGAATGTTGTAGAGGTGGGTCGATGGCGGCGGGATGCGAATGAGCACCTTGCTTCCTGATGGACTGTATCACTAACCACTCCGCTATCATTGCTTCTTAGAAGTTGGCCTTGTGATAATCCAAACGAATGTTATGGCCCTCACAAGGTTTTAACGGTTTTTGCAAAGCACGATATTATCGAATTAAATGAGTTTCTACTCGTTACTAATATTCAGCATTTCAGAATGCCCTCTATTCGTTTTCCCTCTCGTACGTTGTGCTTCTCATCCGGAAGATGTATTGCAACCTCTTCCCGTCTGGATAAAAATCAAGCCGGAAAATATAGGGTGAGTGCTTTTTACTAAAAGTGGTCGTACAAGCAGTTCCATAAGGTATGTACGCTTTGCGAAAATCATGTAGATGTATGTGTTTCATGTCTGAGTTATTTGGAATTGTTGCTTCATGTAGTAATTTACTTCTTTCTAATCGAGTAAATGTAATTTTTGTATGTTGCGACAAATTCTAGTTGCCTCGAATTTTTTTTCCAGTCGACTGTTGATCGATCGCAGTTGTTAACGTACGAAATGGCACAGAGGCCACACCACATTGGTGTTCGCAAGTCTTGGCTGACCTGGCATTCTCAGAATTTAGAAGGTGCAGATTGTTCTTCGAATTGTGTGCATAGAGAAAATGAGAGAATTTCCTTGAAACTCTACTTTTTATTCTTTTAGGTTTTAGACAATCGCAGCCGTTGATGGTCGTACAGGACGAGGTGATTCGTCGTTTTATCCGCGGATTTTTTCCACAAAATGTCGTTATCAGTGGTGAAGAGGTGAGTGAAGGATGGTAATTCCTTGCACTGTGGATGAAGCTTCGCCTTGCTTTCATGGATCTTTGTTGTTACACTTGGCATTTTTTAAAAATATCTGTCGTTCGTTCTCAGTCGGCCATTTCAGATTGTGATCAAACGCAGAGGTAATGTTGTCGTTGTGGCAGGTTTTCTCCAGTATTCAAAACGTCTTGATATCCGTCGCATCTACTGGATGTTTGGTTTCACAGAGGAGTTCTTGTCAATCCTCCTTAAACAACCAGTAAAACTTGAGCTTGCCTTTGTTGAGAGTGAGGCCGATCTAGCTTACAATTATATATAAGTTTTTCTGTAGTATTTGTACCTAGTATTATAGGTTCTTGCGGTTAGTTGTTAAACTAAGTTGTTATTGAGTTGGTATCTTTATATTTTTTTCACTATAAAGCATTTGAACTGGAACTAGAGCGCCATGTTAATTCTCATTGCATAGAGGCATCGAAATCTTAGATTAATTAAAGCAGATAGAGTGAGCCAAGCTTTCACTAGAAAGTGTATGTGGGTGAAACATCGGAAAGTACAACAGGAATTATTTCAACAGTTGCTTATGTCCATATGTAGTTCATCAAATGAGTGAATGGTTATGGCACATTCATTTGCTTTTTCTGTCGTGCAATCAGTCATAGTGGTAGCGTTCGTTTGCTTGTGGATCTGGCTGTGATGCGGCATTGGAATTTGCCCACTTCTGTGCACAGAATAGCCTCAATGGTCCTTGAGAGCAGTTTTTTGTGAAGCCGTAGAATGGTCGCAGCAATGCATTTCCAAGTCAACGACACTAGCATTCCATTGTAGATGGGAGGAGGCTAGCTGTCTTGGGACTAGGATTCCTCAGGGATAGTGCGGATTCCTCACATTGGTCAGTCAAAGACGATGCAGGAGACCGAGTTGAAGATTATTTGATGTAAAGTATTACGTGAAACAAGGTCGATAATGGAGCAAAAAGCAGTTGATCCACGTATGAAACAGAAACATTCGAAAAGATTTTATGGTGCGATATGCTTGACAAGCTCAGGAGGATTTGGCGCAGATCTTGCGAACCTTTTGTCAACTCCATCTCGCTACCACTTGGATATATCTAAGGCCCGTCTATACGAGTAATGAGATCTTTAGCACATTTTCCAATAAGGCTATTCTGTAATTTATAAATACTTTCAAGTTGTGGATAAGGTTGTTGTCAAGGGTCAAAACACACTGGGTCATCGTGTCTGTGGTTGTCGTAGAGGATGCTTGCATGGTCTTGGAGTTTACTCGTTAGTTTTTGTCCATCTATCGTCTACTCTTTTCTTTGTATAATTGGCTCAACTACCTTTCCCTACTGATGCGTATTCTTTCGAAAATGGAACAGTATTCGATGATCTGAACTCTATGTTCCGATTAGAGACTACGTATGCAAGCTGAATCTCAGAAAACATCACTGAACCTCAATATTAGTGCCTCTTTAATATGGTAAAACTAAGAAAGCATGTATTTTTTTGCATAGCAAAGCGCCGGGGGATCGATGACAAGAAAAATCCCGATGCGTTTTAACTCTTTCACCGGTTGATCGGTGGCTTCTCTGAGAGATCCCGTCACACTCTTTGACGATTGCATTCTGTGTAATCCCTCCTTTATGTGTTCTACATATTTACCAGACACATCGTACATATCTGATCGCCTTAATCAGAGAACAATCCAATTTGATTTTCTAGTCTTCGTACAATGGGCATTGTATGAGCTGGTTTCTTCTCCATTTGTGCAAAGTCCTATCCTTCCTTCCCGCTTCGCTGACCTCTTTGAGATTATGTTGCCTTGTCAGACCACTTTCCTTGCGGGGATAGCAAGGGCTGAATGGAGAAACTATGCTTTTGTGGGACAGTTACGGTAACAGTTAGCTAGAAATCTTATGTGGGCCCACTTCTCGGTCGATCGCCGATAGGATTGTTTCGCTAACTAGTTGTCCCTTACTTGTCTTTGTCCTAATCGCATTGATTACAGTTGCATATTGCTTACATTACTGTGGTAACGCCGTTGGGCAAAATAACATTGATTTTAACCTTGCAAGCTATTATTTCCGCGGAAAATATTTGGAACATTGCGGGACCATAATTCACAAAGTGGCTTCGGCGAGAATGTCATTAACTCATAAAGGGATGTCGTGACTTTTGCATCGTTAGTTGTAGAAATTATAGAAACTAAGAATCTCTTTGCCTATTATTTATCTAGTTACTTTAGCTGAGGGACGGGTGTAGCGCAATGATTAGAGGTGCTCTGCAATACACACATTGTCAAAAGTTCTATACCATCCTCAGAATGTAGCTAACACTCTATCCTCACAGGGTTGCCATATCGGTGTCATGCCCTTCTGGGAGCAAAAAAACACTGACTTGATACGGCCTCATATCGTACTCTGCCATGAAAAAGAATGAGCAGTGGCTTAAACTTAAAATATTTTAATTCCGAATTCAGCTTCAGTTTAACCGGGTTCAATACCAGTTTGTGCTCCTCGCATCGTTCCCGTTGACGGGTGATTATTGATAGCATCGAGAGAGTAGAAACGAATCGGTTGGTGAGGTGAATAACAAGTGAGCACCCGGTGAGGTTAGTCGTATATTGGAAACCCAACTGAGGCTCCAGGTTTGTTAATATCTCAGACTCCGTGTGGTTGCATCTCATACAGTACCTTACCATAAAAGAAGAATGGGCAGTAAATGAAAGCTTGAACGCTAACTTAATACATCGGTAGTCCACTGCGAGTCATTTGTATAGGCCAGATATGCCTTCATTTACCTTTGTGATGGTTGCCAAGGTCTAAATATCTGACGCATTCCTAAGGAATCGATCAACGTCCAAAGCTTTTGCGGTCTCCACTTCTCGTACAGAACTGCCATGGTACAGCTTTAAAGCGCTTCTCCTGGGACGAATTAACTACTGAGTTGTGCCTATGGTCACACTTTAGTAATTGCTGTAATACTTCTCGTTCACATTCAGTGAGAAACTGAAATGCGAAGTACAACAGCGCAATAGACCTCCTATCTTATCATGTTGATTTGGAATGGAAGGCCAGTCGCAGTTTGAGCATACGTGTTATCAAGGGAAAAACGGCACTAGATAACATTATTATCGAACTTGTCCAGTTCTAAGCCACTAAAACTGATCGTGAACTTCAGAATTATTCACCATCTGATTGTACGCTGTCAAGTGAAGAAAAACGAAGCTTTTTGTTATGTTGTATCCCACGTAAATTTATCGCCTCATAAAGAGGGAAATGAACGGGTACCTCCTGTTTATTCATATCTTTCAAAACACATGGTTCTGTTGCCGTTTTACTTATTCTTCCTCTCCCATAATACATCTCGTCATGCAGCGAATTGGAGTCAGTAATGATTTCTCCTCCGTTCTACTCTAGAATTTTCATTTTACGGTCATCGGAATATGAATGTGTCGATTTCTTGTTCAGCAATCGCAAGGTTTTTAAACAGCATACATTTACTTCCATAGAAAAACACAATACAATACAACACCAGCTGACGTTTCGGCAGTATCGCCTTCTTCAGAGCCGCTTTTACGTGACTTCCACCAATGAGGAAGTTTAGAACAGCTGATTATAGTCAGTCGCCAACCATATGCGAAACTTCCTCATTGGAAGTCACGAAAAAGCGGCTTTGAAGAAAGCGATACTGCCGAAACGTCAGCTGGTGTTGTATTGTATTGTGTTTTTCTATGGAAGTAAATGTATGCTGTTTAAAAACTTTGCGATTGCTGAACAAGAAATCGACACATTCATATTCCAATGCCGAGGTTAATAGAAAGTCGATCCTGGGAACTTTTACGGTCATCTTTCAAGAACTTTGTATTCAAGAATGTGGTTCCTTTGAATAGGTATATATTCCAGTTAAGTTATTCCAGTTTTAGGAGTACATGTAATGAATCGTAACAGGTAATTCCTTGTAAGAAGAAATGTACGGACTCTCGTTCTTCTTTTCTGCAAAAGTGTCTACGGTAATGGTCGTCGTCGAGAATTCTGGGCTATAGTGATGCAAAAAATAACTGCGATTTCTGTTTTTACGTTGACCTAATAAGAAGAGCAAGAGTTCTTAAGGCTTTGCATAGTTTTTTATAAAGTAATTGCCAGTTACGAAATTAGGGATTCCTAAGAGACATTTGTACGGACACGCTAATTTTTTGAGTCTCTGAATGTTCAGTGTTCCTCTTGCCTCTTGATTATTGGCCACTTACTATGCTTGATGTTTATTTTCTCTCCTTCCAGCAAAATTTACACTATCGGATGTAACCTTCGGATTTATGTCTGAGTTCTCACCAGATTCACCTTCAGAAGACGACATAACGTGGCGAGGAACGTCAGACCAAATCGTTACTGATGTTCAAAAGACCTGCAAGGTGGTTACTTCCTGCAGTTTTCTTGTACTATAAAATATTTCCTTAAGTTTTCAGTTTTAATCTGCCAACGCACAAAATGAAACATCTATACGTACAGGTTTGTGGAGATCGTGCCAACGGATACAATTTCGGCGTGCTGACATGTGAGTCCTGCAAGGCGTTCTTTCGTCGCAACGCTATGAGAGAAGAAGTAGGCTTTCACTGAACGTTTTTAAGTCGCCATCTGCTTAACTTAACGATTCAGTTCACGAAAAATAACTGTTCTCCAGAAACAATTTTATTTTGCTTGGTATGTCGAGGGTATGTGAAAGCTTAAGTGCTAGGAAATTGTGAAATTCAAAGAGAAAAACGGACTTTGTTGAACCTCACAGGATTCGAAATCTGAAAGTTTCACTCTTTAGGACGGGATACGCTGAACTCGACAGTCCAATTGCCTATACATTCCACTTAGTCATCTTAGTCATCGAATGACTTCAACACCATCAAATTTCATTTGTTTCTGTCGGCCATCCCAACCACTGTGCGGACTCCGCTCCCCTCAAACGGCAAGAACAGCTTAGCACTTTTTGGCATGATGCCGTTATTTACTGCTTTTGGTGGGATGGTAGCCACAGCTCGCTGGGGTTTGCCGTGGTATTGCTTTAGTCTATCTGAGCTACGAGGTCCTCTCTGGACTAGGAGATGGAGAATATGGTACTTATTCCTAGTGAGGTGTGACCTCATTGGAGTTGAGCTCCAACTGCATATCGTTTCTATAGCAAGGAACATGCCTTAACGAGGCGGTGAGTTATTGTTGGATTTATTTATTAATTACCTGTGTCACTTGTCTCCGCGTTGATTCTCGAGTGAGCACCGATAAGCCCAGTGGTTTCTGCTCGCTCTAGGGACTTGTTGAGCATCACATTTTCCTTCCCAGGTTTTCTTGAAGAACAACTGGGTCGGTGGTCTTTCTGCAGTACGCTTGACATCCCGAGGAATTTAGTCACTAACGGCTGTTATTCATTTGTTCCCGTTCATACACGTTACACGTCCGGTCTACTTTATCTTTGACTGTTTGGTGTACAAAACACCGTCTTTGAATTTTCATCCTTGACGCACGTCGGAGTCCCAGATCTCATATGTGGGAGGTGGGATAGACCGAGCATGCTCCTTTCGGCTTCACGTTCTACAACGCTTTCATCCTGCTTACGCAGCGACTAGGTTTCCGAGGCGTGCGTTAAGGCAAGAAGCACCGTTGAGTCGAAAAGGTGGGCACGGAGTTGGGTGTTCTCTGTTTTCTTCACTACATGCTTGATGCTCATGATGACCTTAGAAGGCTAGTCGCTTCTTCCTGCTAAACTCTGGAGCTAATTGTTTGAAAATGTTGATTTTCCGTCTCAGATAGGTGCAGCTGAAGCATTCGGAGATGTTCGTTCCGTTGAGCATGAATGGGATATCTGAAACTAATCCGTTCCTCACAAACACCGTTTTTGTGAAATTTGGTCAAAGGCCAATCATTCCAGAATGGTGACCAAAGTCGACAAGCATTCGTTCCACCTAGCTAATGCTTGCTCACGATGTCATCAGCAAATCGAAGATTGTAATTGTAATTGCTGACCATCAATTTTTTTTGTAATTGCAATTGTAATTGCTGACCACCCCCATGTTGTGCATTGCCTCGCCTTCGACGTCGATGTTAACATCGTTATACAATAGTGATATCTTGGTTGTGAAACTTTTGTATAGCTCACGAAGAATTTTGATATACTGAGTAGGGAAAATCTGGCTATCCAGGGCTTCAGTGACTGCTTCTGTCTCAACTGAATCAAAAGCTTTCCGTTAATCGATGAAAGTGAGACGTAGAGGTCTCTTGTACTCCAGTGATATTTTAGCGAATGTTATTACCCTGTGGATGACGTCCATCTTACTGACTCTTTTTCGAAACCCTCCTTCCTGACATGGCTGTCCTTCGTCCAGTGTTTTATGGATCCTGTTCAAGATCACTCGAGTGAAGAATTTGTAAACGAACGACAACAAGCAGATTGGGCGAATGTCGCCAATATCCTGGTAGTGGCACTTTTTGAACAATAACAGAGCATTGTCGGTCTTCTATTAAATAGGAACCCTGAATTCTGACAGGTGATGTGTGAAAAACTAAGCCAGTGTGTTGATGAGGACTGGTGGAAGGTTCTTCAGGTGTTCAAATGTTATCTTGTGCGGATCAGATGTTGTTTGATTTCTTACCGTCGAAATGCCATGTTGGATTTCGGTTACGGGAGAACCGATGGGATTACATATCCATCCTCATTTATTTCGTATGAGCGCAACAGAATGTGGGTTTTGAAGAGATTCGAGTAGTAGTCTTGTATGGTTTTCTCCATTGCCTTTCTGGACACTGTAACTATTCCATTGGGCGTCGGAGTGTAATCATCTTGGTTTTGCAATTGGCGAAACTTCGGACTTTAGTTAAGAGTCGTCTTTACCTAGTACAATTCTATGCCGACGTATCAGGTCGCGTGTTTCTGGTGACAGACGTCTCTTGTTGATTTTCGACCTCTCAGTTCTTATAGCACTTACTTAAAAACGTTGAATGATCCTATCGTATTTCTCGTCGATGTCTTCATGAATGGCATCTTTTCAACAACCGACTAATGAACTGAATTAGTCTCAGTTTACGGTGGTTTAAGGATATTTTTTTTTGAATTTGGCCGGTTTTTCTCTTTTGCGCGAGGAAAGAAATCTTGTACCAAGGAGTCGATGGTCTGATCCCGTGTAGAATTTTGGGTCAAGAGGTACAAGCGTTAGCCAAGACCTTCGATTTCCTATGATGTGCTCTATTTCATTATGGTGCTGTCCACTGGGAGACTCCTTGTTCAACACTGAGAGCAGGGCTTCTGGAATTGTGAATTAGCATAAATGGTCTTCGTCGTTACGATAAACGTGTCTCACCCAACGTCGTCGTATCGGAGGCTCTTTAGGAGTCAGCGGAATGAGGCTCACTTACTTTACTGCGTTTTGTGTTTGGTACCCATATATAGCTTGCAGAGCTCTAAAGGTGGAGTACCGGATAGTAGTTTGCCTTCGGTAGTTTGCAATCTCAACTAGAATAGACGAGGAGCTGATTTTTGGAAGCGACTCCAAACCGCCTCCCATATACTCCACAGTCTCCTTGATCGCATACGTTTGACCGAATTAATTCACAGAATACAATCCGCACAAACAAGAACACACCCGCGCACGCATACCTGAATATGTCTTCATAAACGCAGAAGGTATATGTCAAATGGGTGCGGCAGAAACAGGGAGTCGATCCACTAGATCTACCTGCGTCTCAGGGAAGCATAAAGTCGAACTAATCCGTTTTGGTCTGCGATTAACCCACTACCAACCACCTGGGACGTACCTCATTGCCTTGCGATCGGCATGAGATGCTGCTGTGAGCGAGATCCGTGGTAATTTAATTAGAAGGTCAACGAAGTACTTAAATATTGCAAAAAATAAACATTAATTTCCATATTACCCACTACTGTGGTTGTTGACAACGGAAAAGTTCGATTTTAAGATGAGAATTTAACATGCTGCATCTTTCTATAGAATTTAACTCTACAATAATCATAATCTTCACTATCAAAGCATCTTTGACAATATGCTATAAACTTGACGATCACATCTATTTCATCAAAATTTCCATCTCTCCAAAGAATTGGTAATAAGTCGGTGATAAGTCTGGTGAACACGGTGGTTAAGGCAGCGTTTTGTAATGCAACTCGTTCAGTTTCTGCAGCATCACATGTTAAAATTCATGACGGACATTACACAGCAACAGGATCGGCTCTTTCCCGTGCCCTTGCCATTTTTCGAAGAAGTCTATATGTTATTGTAAGTTAAAATTCGACCCAAAAATAGTTCTATCCCATTCTGAATAAGGAGTTGCAGATTAATCGTAAACGCCATATATTCTGTCTCTCATTGAGATCGCGTGTGACCAACCTATTGTGCGTTTTCTGATCTTTCCAACAATTTAAAAATCGTAGGAATTTGCCCCAATGCATGGCGCCAAATGTTCCACTGAAATCGTTCCGTCGCTCCATGGTTGGGAAATTAATAAGAGACTTGCTCGGGAGAGGAAGAACACTGTCTTTATGTATCGGTGCACTCACGAGAAGAACGCTTCTATTCAATGACTTCTAGAGTGCTAGGAATGGAGTCAAATTTATGGTTCATCACTCTGGAATTGGTCAACGGCGAAGGCTTTAGGCTTTCACACTTTCACCTCCATATTCATTCCTCCCAGACAAACCACGAAATGAATTGGCCATTTACGAAACAGTTCCGAAACACGACGCTAACATTCCGAGAAACCAGCGCAGCACTATGTCCACGTCCCTATTTATAGAAAAAGTGGGAACAAGTTTTCTTCGTTCTTGAGAAATTGTAAGAAAACACCTGACTCGTTTTTATTAGCGCAGGCCCAACAGAACTTCCTCTCGTTTCTCTCTGACGCCGTAATCGTCCACAGTAGTGCTCTGTTTCGAACATGGTGATATCAGCGAAGTCTTCTCTAAAATCTTTCCCATCTGCGAATGCAAATGGTAGATGTTGAACATCAGCACGTCTCCACATCATTTGGTTGGTAATCCAAGAGGATGCTGATCAGCCTTTCTGTGCTTCGAAAATGATGTGCATCCTCCTGGGTACTGAAGATGAGATACGCGTGAGCTGCGCATTCCGGCTAGACGTTGCAAGTGTCGGTTAAGTTTTAGCAATCATCGTTGAAGCGCTTTATGGGTGGTGCCCAGTATTCTCGACGTGGTTGAAATATCATCTCACGTTTCTGTTGCAATAGAAGAGCGCTGGATGGACTGTTGAATCAGAAAGGTGAGCGCGGAGTTTTTCGTTCGATAGTTGGACTAATGGCTTTTTTGAGTGGACCGAATGTGGCCCATGCTTCTTGGCTTTTTCTGTCTAATTCCTGCTTCATGTTGTCCTCTATGTTCGTTAAACGTTTAAGATATACGAAGGAGGTGGTCTCTGTAAGCAGGATACCATTCAGATCCAACTGACCGCTTTTGCAGCATAGGTCGTTCATGAATTGGCTCTTTGTCCTATCTATGAGCAGTACAACCTTTTCCCCTTCGTTGTGTTCGTTTAGCATCATCTTTGCTTTGTTGGCACTCCTTGAAAAGATGACAATATCACCAGCGAAATGGTTTTGACAGAAATTTCCCATCAGTGTGTATGTTCTTCTTGTCCCAATCGAGTGACTTCATTATCCACTGCAGTGTGGCAGTAAGCAGCTTTAGCGATATGGTGCCGCCATGTCGAAATCCTTTTCCTGTGGGTTTACTGAGAGTCGATGAAAAAGTTGTATATTTGCGCTTCAGTTCCAATAGCAGTCAGTTAACGTTCGTGTAAAGAAGGGGTCCACTCCTTCGTCGGCAAGCGCTGATAGGATTGCATTCATTTTGACGCTGTTAAACGGCTTTTTCATAGTCAGGGAAAGTTACTAGTAGGAGCAGGTGATATTCCCGGTAAGCTTCTATAACGCTCTATACGGTATGCATGCGGTCCATTTAGCTAAATCCCTGTCAAGATCCTGCTTGCTCAACTGGTTGTACCTCATCGCAAAAGGATATTCTTTGTGAACAGCTGTAGAGTACGCTCAAAAATCATATTGGATTAAAGTTACGAAGACCACTTCTGACTTTTTCCATTGGTTTGAGATTTTTTGCTTTTGAAGGTACGATGTAATGTCACCACTTGTATCACCTGTAGCCCCATTGATGGTCGAGTGACTCGAGCGGATGCTAGTAAATCTTCCATTTTTCCCTGTCGTGTGCGAGAGTAGCTCACTGGGTTCTGCTCGCTCTAAGGACTTGTCGAGCATCATATCTTTCTTCTAATCTCTTCGTGAAGAACTCTGGCCATCGGGTCGGTGACCTTCCTGCAGTAAGTTTGACATTTGTCATTCATACGCATTACCTGTCCGGCCCAACTTATCTTCGGCTGTTTAGCGTACAGAACAGAATCTTTGATTTTAGATCGTTGAAGCAGGTCGGAGCTTCGGATCCCATCCCTTAGTTGTGTGGAACGGGATACTCCTAGGATCGTCCTTTCGACTGCGCGTTCAATAACGCTGAGTGACCTCCTGCTTACGCAGCGACCAGGTTTCTGACGCATGCGTTAGGGCAGGAAGTACCGTTGAGTCGAAAAGGTAGACATGGAGTCGGGTGTTCTTTGTTTTTTTCACTACATCCTTGATGCTCTTAAAAGTTCCCCAAGCCGCTCGTTTCCTTCTGCTGAGCTCTGGAGCTGTATCGTTCATCATATTGATTTCCCGACCTAAATAGATATAACTGGAGCATTCAGAGATACTCGTTCCGTTGAGCGTGAATGTGTATACGAAACCAATCCGTTCCTCATGAGCAGCGATTTGTGAGATTTAGTCGAAGAGTAATCTTTCCACAGGCTTTATCAAAGCCGAAAAGTATACGTTTCCCTTGGCTAATGTTTGGTGTTATAAGGACGATGTCATCAGCAAAGCGCAGATGTTGTAGTTGCCATCGATCGATTTTCACTCCCATGTTATCTCATTCCAATGTCCGCATGACGTTCTGGAGGCTGGCGTTAAGTAATATTGGTGAGATGGTATCGCCTTGCCTAACTTCTTTTGACGTCAGTATGTAATATAAGTTGTGAAATATAGATGTGATTTGTGGCATTTCGTGCTGGATGTTGGGTGTAATAGTATCTGGTCCTAGGACTGCGCCTCTCATCATGCTTTCTATTGCGACTCGGATTTCAGACTGAATAATTCCGGGAGATTTTTCTCCAGCAGATATTTTGGGGTTCGATACGGAGATAGTGGAAGAGAAAGGACTGGGATAAGACTTTTCAGATATCAATTCCACATCACTGCGGTATGTGGTGATAGTCCCTTCTTCGTGCATAAGGGTACATATCCTGACGGCATTTCTTCAAGCTAGCTAGTTCTTGAGCTGCTACCAATAACTTTTTGTGCCTATAACGACGTGATTTCTCCTGCAAAGATCTTCTATAGCCGGCATCTATTATTTGTCTTATTGGCTGTTTCCATCCTTATTTAGATCTCAAAATCCGAATCTTTCTCCACTTTATTGATTTTCGTTGGCTTTTCCTAGCACAGAATTGAAGCCTCCATCAACGAATCTGCAGAAGAACTTTATGTTGCGGATTGCTTCACCCGAATGGTTGTAGTACGTGTTCAATTTGCTCTCATCAGCTGCATAGGTTGTGAGGAATTGCAAATGATGACAGCGACTTTTTTGAGGCAGAGACGAACAATAGTCCACTGAGCTGATACGATCGTGTATGAGATTAGTATATGAGAAATGTACGACAAAGTTAGAGCTCCCGAAATTTCGCAACAGGAATTGCCTTTCACGAATGATAAGGGTTTCGTAATCTAATTAGCGTATATCAGTCTCTTGTAGGGCGCTGACATAGAATTTGATGCGAACAGCGGCGTTAATTTGAACGTAAATATCGACGTCTGAGGAGACCGATCTGATATTATAAGTGCAGAACGAGAAGTTATCTCTATGCAGTGTTGTGGATGTGTTCGTTTGTCCCGGTTCTACTGACCTCCTGCGCAACTCGAAATTTGATCTTCTCTTACTGGTTGTCTCCCAACGCTCGACCTCGTGAAACTGTGCCTCCTGTGTGCAGGGTACTCGTAGGACGTTGCTGGTTGATCCACTTATGTTTCGAGGTCGACATAGCTGGAATTTCGCTCAAGTCGTCACTACGGAAATGGCTGCTCCTTGTGGATCAGAAGATTTCCACCTTGTCACCAACTTGATACCAGGGCGGTGGTGAATTCTGGTATTAGTTTACTCTTGGCTAAGCTTTCGAATGGAAACACCGGACTCCTTCCGAGCCTGGGAGATCGTGTTAGCAAGGTACAGCCTAGCTGTAGTTTACAGTCCGAAATCCAGGAACACCTCTCATGATGGAGCGGTAAACGCTTGGGAGGCAACAGACAATTAGTGCTAAGAAATTAGGAATCCTGACATCTAAAATAAAGATTAAAGCACTCATGAATAAGAATTGGTGTTGGAAAAAAGGTGCTCGAAGCTGAAAAGTGGAAGCTTCTTCTGGACATTCTAATTGCTTCACCTTCGTGGAGGGAAAAGAAATAACAGAAAAATAACAGTGAGCTGACAACATTAATGAAGTTGGCAACCTAGATGGAAGTTTTCCAAAATAATCAAACATAGGAGAGTTTTGTGAACTCGAGTCCTAAAACGGCATTCTTTTGAGATGTGTTGGAATTTAGTAGAAGTTGAACTCAAATGTTCACACCGCAGTTCTTCACAGTGTCCACATTCTTCACGTTTTTCCGTTAAGTTCTACTGTAAAGTCTCACAGAGCAACGCAGTCTGCTTGTATAAATTATAGTCTATGAGCTGAGAGACAGGCGAAACGAAGGACCCGCATGGTGTGGTGGTGAAGGCATTGCACCCTGGAAAGGGCAATAGCGCGTTCGTTCCCCACCGCAGACACCTGTGACTAACGCGTTTATCATCACACCGTACGGGTCCTTCCTTTCGATGCCTCTCATCTATTGTTTTGTTTTTCATTTTCATTTTACAGGAGGTAAGATGCCCATTTTCAAACAACTGCGGCATAACATCGGCTTCTCGTCGTTTCTGTCAGGGATGCAGGCTGCGAAAGTGCTTAGAGGTGGGTGTATTGTTTTTTGTCTACATTTGAAGGGAAAATTAAGCAGAAGGGTATGAGAAATGATAAATACAAGATCCTCAAACATTGAGACTAAAGAGTACTAGGCCATATAACGAATGTTTAAATCATAAAGCCACTACTGCGAAGCAGAGATCGTGCTTAACTCGCAATTGTTTTATGTGCGCGTACCCGCATTAATGGAGATCGTTCGGGCTTCTTTCCACGTTATATATTGAGTTCTACGATATCGCTTTTATGTTCAATGTTTTGTAATGGAAGAACTTAACAGCAAATTATAAGCCCATGAAAGAGGTCCACATTTTGACGACGCCTACCATGTCGAGAAGAAATTTTTCTACTACAACAAGCTAACAACTTCGATACCTTACTTTCTTAACAGGAGATTGATCTCCCACTGTCGCATGATATTTGAAGATGAGCCGTCTAAGGAGAATCGTCATGACATGATTTAAGCTTAAAATTTTTCTTGGGAGAATTGAGTAGATTTGAGATATAGGTTATACTGTCTAGCAAAACACTTTGGGGCGAATTTTTCTGTTAACTGGGTTGATAGACTTAAAAGACTGATTGAGTACAGCGATCAGTTTGCACAGCAATATTGCATTGCAAGCGTTCTCTCTACATAATAACAGTAATGTACTTTAAATGACGATTTTCTAGGAAGAATAATCAATAGTTGGGTTAAAAAGTACGCTATATAAGACGATTTGCAGGTGGGCATGAGAAAATCATGGCTTTGTGGCCAAAAACATCGTGGTGCTAAAAGAAAAACGAATCAAATTAATAATGAAGCGGTCAGTTTATGTCAGTACAGTCATAATTCTGCAACACACATCACTACGCGAAGGCGTTTCTATCAAACGCAAACTCTTTGGAGAATTTCACTCCACTGGTCTTATAATGAAAAAGAGCCTAAACGAAGGACTTCTTTCTATGACAGTTCATCCTTCAGTCAGGTTTGGATGAAGAAGTGAGCGTTCCTAAGGCGTACCTGACCGAACTGATTCGCAAGTCTAAACGGTTAGAACAACTCAAAAAATTTAGAATTTATCTCATTTAATTCTGCCTAGAGACTTTCCAGACCACCGGCATTTTGTGAATGTATTTGTACTTGTGGATTTTATCCGCCAAACACCAGTCTAACGGCTCTCGACTCTATCAAGGTTCTTAGCCATCTTTAATCATTTTATCCATTTTTTGTATATCTAGAAAATTTCGTGTTATTTTAATACGTCATAGTTTAAATCTTGGGAAGAACTAGACACTTATTACATGAATCGTACTTTTTGTTATGTTTTTTTTGGCTCGAAAGCAGAATGTAATGGCAAACAACGGGTATAGCTGTTCTTCTTGAGGCATTGTTAACTCTTTTCAGAACCATCAGTCGGTTACTGGATATGCCACTGCTCCTTTACCATCTTCTTTCATGACATCTGGGAAGTCAGCTTTGGAAAGAGCTGGGGACCATATTTCGTCATCTCTTCCTGCTCCATCTACGGCCACGGATACCAACCATATGTCATGCTTCACCAGACAAGCAGACGTATATTTTAGCGATTCAGCAAGCCTTGGTGGTCAGCCGACTTCACAGGGCTTAGTATACGTTCCAGGAATCGGACCAAATGTGTTTTCTGCGTTTTCAACAGTGCCACCGTAAGTTTATGAGTTAGACACAGTTTCTAACATACACAGTATTGTGCCGGACGCGGGTAGCGTAGTTTTAGAGATACTCTTTGACAGTATGCACAACGGTTTGATTCGACCGCTCCCTGGGCCTACTATGTTTCCTCTCGGATCAGGAAATTGCTGCGAAATCTATTTTGGATGACCCCTCGGATCCATGAAGGCTGATAACTGACCTTGCTGAACCTCTGTTCTATGAGGCTATTCCAGAATTCCATGAAGAACTACTTGGCCAGTACTCAGTGAATATAAAGACTACTGAAAAACCTCAGGTATTACTCCCAGGCAAAACTCGAAGAGTATGTTGTCGATCCATGTAGGAAAAGTAATATACGAGTTATGATCCAATTAATTGCCAAGCACTTTAGAAGAACAAAGCTCTTACTCGTCCTCACTCGCATTATAATTAACAAATGAGATTGGCTCACTCAGCTATGGGAGAGGAAGAAATCATACTGCTATTACGAAAACCTTTGATAGTAGTTTGGCTTCATATCCATGAACACCACACTGTAACCACGAAGTGGGGATCTTCGATCGATCTTTAAGGGGAGCGCTGATAATGCTCTACATTTCTGCTCGCAGATAAGTTTATCAAGGAAAGAATCACAAATAAATAAAACGATTTGAAATTTGCGTTGATTTCAACTTTTTTGAGTTTCTATAAAATATAAAGTGACTTGTTCTAATGTGCCCCAACTTCAACATGGAGGAAACGACCAATGTGACTTGAGTTCAATGCACAGTGTATGTTGCGAAAAATTAAGCCTCTATTCACGCGGCCACTAATGAGAGTTAGCTGCTAGGTCGTTTACCGTCATAAATTAAAAATGTGCCTGTTCAGAACCTATACTCAACTCTTTTCACCAATTTCTACTTCTGGAATGGCGGCGATCACACCGATATTGCCACCACTGCAGACGACGGGTTTGTGAGATGAAATCATTGATAATAGCTTATTTAACTGTTATAGATTTCTTCTTAGAGTGATTTTCTGATTACTGAGCACTTGTTTAATTGAATTAATAAATACATCTTGGTGTTCTATCGTAGTTTAACAGTTATCGTGGAAGCGGTAACATCTCTTGCTTTTCTTTCTTTATTTCTAATATATGTCTTCCCTTATATAAAATACGTCTCTGATCTTTGACGCCACTCTCCTATCGGCGTTAATGAAAAATATTGTTGAGCAAGTTAATTACTTCCATTAACTGGCCACCAGATTGGAGGCCAAGTGGAAGCAATGTACGACGACGGAACTCCATGGTGCTCTGTGCTTGGAGAACCTCCTTTAAAGGAGAATAGTGGGCTTTTAAGAAGGCGAAATCTGCCGAAAAGTCAGCTTTACCGTAATAAACAGTAAAGTAACACATCGTGCTTGCTCAACAAGAATATAGAGAACTACTTGATCAATATCGAAGTTAATAGAAAGTCGACCGTGGAAATTACTTCTCACTGTATTCGAAAGATATGCTAAGCAGGTTGCAGAAAATGGTACTTCGCTGAGGGCGTTTCTGAAAACAGGAATGTTCATCGTGATGTTAATACGGCATAAAGTGATAGTATAATTTTGATGACGTTCTTACAATATTCAGATTAAGCACGATTCCACCTTTACTGCACTTTTTGTTGTGGCATGAAGAATTTCAACCGAGTTGAAATTTCCCGCTGTACTCAGGAAGACAGGGGAGTGTTAGAGCTCAGCAATCATCTCATTCTGTTGGCAAGCTACCCGGTTGTAGTGTAGGATTTTCTTTTCATTTCAATTTGATGAGAATGTATCGGTTTTTTTGGGTTTGTATGGAAGCCCTCAAATGGAATTCCATATATCGTGGGAAGTGCAGCTTTTGGCAGTCGCCGGTGAGAACCAAGGTGCGGGGTCAGTTCAACGCGAAGGTGTTTGTGGATAGGAAATCTTACAAACGGATTCCATTTAGAATTTCGACGGTGTTTGTAAAGTTTCAGCTTTTTAAGCGTGAAATAATCGGTTGCTACGTATGCATCTCCTCGTTGCATTCGATGCTGAAACTTCATTCTAAGAAACTAAGAAGCGGAAATATCTGACGACACGTTATAATTCTTATTGAGTCGGCTGAACTGCAAGCAGGAGGAGGTGAATCTTTCCAGCTCTTTTTTTCTTCCAAGCAAGGATTTTGTGGAGACTCATATTCTGGCTTATACTTTACTGATCATTCATATTCCGGGCACCGTCTGCTCATCCCGTCTGTAGTTCCATGATTTCACAGAATTTTCTTAAAAGATCATTCTCCACACAGACCATCACATCTATGGTAATCAGTGAATGAAATAACGTTGTTTAGTGACCGATGGTGAATTGCTGTTGCTTGCCTGGAATTTACATTCCGTAGTAATTTTTTCCAAGCAGAATCACGGAAGGGTTTACGATGAAGAGTGGATGATCGCTTTCTGAAGCGCATGGCATCTCTACCACTTTTTTTAATCACTGGAATGTGTGGTCCACTTGACGCTGTTTATTTTTCCTGTTTAATTTAACAAAAGCAAATCAATAAATAACTTATGTTTCCTATACGCGACCTCGTTCTGATTCGCTCATAAGATTTTACCGTGATGCTTTAAGTTTGTGCTGACAAAAGAATTAAAAAGCCCATATTCTTGTTCTATTCTGCTTTAATAAAATAGTTATTCTAATCAGGACCGATCCCGACATTGAACACAAAGTGTTGCGCACCTGGTTATGGAACGATCGATCTGACAAAGTATGCTAGGCTTTCGGCTGCAGACATGAACTTGATTGAGGTCAGCAATGATATTTCGGCCATTTCTTCCATTCCTCGTTCATACTGAACATCGTCCTGCTTCTTCTGCCAGGGTCTTGTTAACATTTACAGGAGTTGATAAGAGCGAATGAACCGTTAAAAGCTCCGCTTGATCTGTGTATTACTAACGAATTAACACTGATGGATGTGGTCAAGATCAGCGAAGCGGCTCTGAAAAGAATAGTCTGCATGGCAAGGGACTTGTCCGCTTTTCAGTCGCTCGAAATCGAGGATAAGAAGAATATTATGAAAGGTATGCAAAACACGAACTGCGAAAAGGTGTGCACAAGTTTTTTTTAGGTAGTTGTAGTGAACTTCTGATTCTACGAGGCGTGATGGCATTTGATCCAAGTAAGAACACATGGAACCATTTCTTTAAGGTTTGATTTACTATTGCTCTAGTTTAGTTTATAATTTAATAAGTTGTTTGACAAGCACTATGCATTTATCGCGTGATGGTGATAGTTGTAGAACTGAGAAAAAAATGTAGGTGACATAAAATTGTTGAATTTCTGAGTGGAGAAATGGAGAAGCCTAAGCAAAACGTAGCAGTACTCGAGGAGGATGGGAACTAAACAGATGAAGTAGAAGAAGTCTGTAGCAATAGAGACGCAGTGGATATATTTTTGAGCCGGTGATTAGGACGATTTCACTGAGGACTGAAAATGGTTGGGTCTAAAATACATGATTAGGAAATACGGTAGGGAAATAATCGCACTTTCTTAGAGTGTTCGTAAGCAATATTACCGATATTATCAACATAAATGTTTAAATGTCTGTTTCTTAGGAAAGCTGTGTGATTTTTTGAAGACCGATTCGGGAAGACAAACAGTGTGAAAGCGGTAGCAAAGCACATTCAAGAACAAGCCATGTGTCTTCGTTGAATAACGTTTTGCTGCCTCGTTCCGCTGAAACACAACTTACAGAAGGTCAAGAACTATTGCTGGAGATCTTCCAGGAGCGCTTTGATGTGGAAAAGTGAGATGAAATGAGTATTGAGGAGTAACAAATCAACTCACCATAGCCAAACAGTCTCCTGCGACCAATCAATGGCAATTCTATACTTGGCGCAATGTTCTCGTGACGGGACACAATCTCATGATAATTGGCCGGCTTTCATTGTTTCATTTCATTACGTGGCCTCCGATCGGCCGTTTAGCTGCACTAATTTTGTGATTAGATGCACAACCATTTTGTAATCCCAGCGTGTGCAGAGTAGCACTTCTCCAGGATGGTATCATATTTGGAGGTGGTTTGTAGACCTTGATCCACTTTACAAGGTGACCATTTTCTCGTATGGCTGCACATGGTTGGTTTTTTCGTCTCCAACAGTCGTATTTCTTTAGAAATGGTGCTATTTAATAAGACGTCTTTGTGAAGAATAACGAATGAGATTTGGTTCGTACATCGTTGCGCTCCTTATATCCAATTTTTTCGGGTAGTCGAATGCGTGTTAATTTTTCGAAAATTTAGTTTTTTCGTTAATTCTTGCATTGTACAGTCTGCCAAGAACTCTTTTTTTGAAGTTTATACTTGCCGATGATAGAAATACGCCCAGATTGTGAATCCTCTTTGACACTAAGTTACCTCGCAGCAAGTTCACAAGCCATTCCCAAATCATCTCCTAGAAAACAGTGCTTCCCCATATGCCGCAATAATTTCAGGAGTGGTTTTTCACTTTTTTTGAAACACTGTTTTTATTCGAATCTTTTGTGCAACTAAAATCTACGGCACGAGTAAAGTAGTTCTAAAAGCTTGAACGTTTAGCGCAAGTGGTGTTTGCCTGGTTGAGAACTTAGCCTTATTTGTGGAACGAACTCTATCGTGATAAAATAAAAACACCCAAATATTTCTAGTAGAAATCCAGTTTTTATTTCAATTAATAAGGCTCATTTTCAGATGAGGTACTTTTGCTTGAAGTTGAAATGTCATGTTCTTTTGGGTACACTTGCAGTCAATTCTTATCGTCCAGAATGTTTTAAGCATGGAACAGTTCCTCCGCCACTTTTTCTCAGAGTATGTAGCGAAGGAATGACAAGCACGTTTATTTAAGGATTTCAAGGGAATGGAAGTGAAAATAGATGTCCTAAAAAGTGGCAACGAAACGAAGCATTACGAGGAGCATAAACGGTGAGTGGCTTGGAATCGGCGTAGTTGTTGTATTGCGATGCTTTTCTCGCAGTAAGCATCACCAGCGTCTTTTTACTACGGGTACTTGGGTACTATAATACGTTACCATTAGAGCGTATTTCTACTCTGCTTTTCATGAAGTGCTAGTTCTACTTGGGAAAACGACTCTTGGAAGTCTCAAATTGATTGAAAAATGCAAGCGTTGCTTGTTTTTCCATTCACCTCCATAGGTGGAATCCCACTGCTCCATTTAGAGATGACAAACCCAAACGAAATGGACCCTCCCGATTAAGCCTTCGTTGTACTAAAGGACTTTCTTTTTTCTCAGCTTTCTCACCGAATTCAACCATCAAATTCAAACGAACGAATGTATCATGTTGCTGCTGATGGCGATTGTCATCTTTTGTCCGGAAACACCTAATCTTCAGGCGAAGCAACGGATTCAAGAAGTCCAGAATATGTACTACGGAGTACTGAAGAGGTGCGTCAATTTATTCTTACAACAAAAAGCACTTAGTAGACAGTATGAGTGAAGTGAATGCGGTACCACACAATTGTTATTTGTAGGACCCTCTATCTTTATGTGGTCATGAAGACATGAAAAGTCCCATAACCAGCATGGATTTGAGTAAGAAAATGAGAACAGTGGCAATGTATCAGCTGAACGTTAGGTCTATCTGACGTAACCAGACCTCATAAGATGCCTTAATTGTTGCTCCGTCCTGTGAAATGTCCCAATTTCTAGTTCAACATTTAAAGGGTACTGATCCAGAAATTGCAGCCATCTGCTTGTTTATCATAAGAAGAACGTCGCAGCTTCTGAAAAAAAGATGCAAGTTGAAGAATACGTTGTAGTGCTTCGCGGTTTTTCTGTTTAGTTTAGTGTGAAAAAAGCTTCACTCAAATCAATATTTTTCAGAGCTCTTGAATGTGAATACGCAGAGGAAGAGGCTCGTCAGGTATATGACATGCTCGTGAAAAAGCTGGAAGAACTGAAACATCTGAAGGAGGGACTGGTTCAAATCTACTACGGATTCGACAGCCGCCTGTTGGATCCGCTCATCAAAGAATTGTTTGATATGATGTAATAAACCGCTACACAAACGCAAATTGATTCAGTTGCTGTACGATGGTAAAATCGAAATAGATGCGATCGGATTTGAACCGCTGGATTATTGGACAAATGGAAAAGGAGAAATTGGTGGTAATCTCTGAAAGACTTCTGAATTGAACAAACTACAAGCAACAGCAGATTAAATAGCGATAACAGGGCATTTCCGGGAGCAGTAGTAAAATAGGTCATTTTTGAATTGTAGTGCCAGATATTGACGATTCCTTTTTGAGAAATGTTTGGGAAAAAAACCTAGCAATGTAACGAATAAATAGCGAACTTGTATTGGATTGTGGATAGCGTGTCCGTAAAGTTTGTGACATTTTACGCAACTACGGATATCAGTTCAAATCCAGCAACGAGACAACGGATATTTCAAGGCGTATTTTATTCATCGTCGTGTGAGGGTCGGTCTCTCTAAGCCGTTATGGTTACTCTTTTTTTGGTATTTTTACCCTAAAATTATGTGTTTTTTTAACTTTTCAGTTCTGGATATATTTGTAAACAGTGATGGAATCGTTTACATTTGTTCGATTTGAAAGCTGGGGGAAATTTGAGCTTTCTTATCACTGAAATTTCGATGTTGCAGGGCTCAATTTTTCTCGTTAAAGTGATGAATGGACTTCGTAGACATTGTTATCACAGAAAAACGAACTGAATACATTTACATATCGCTTAATAGGAATGTATTAGTTACTCTTCACACAATTCGTAAAAGTTGAAGCGTTTAGTGTTTCGACGAACTTTCCTTTTCTAAAAAATTCTAGGCTTAATAGTTGAATAATCTGTGGCTGGCCATCGGCAGAGTGCTAATTTGTAGCATAAAAGCATGTTCAAGACGATGCAAACCATACATGGATCGTACGCGGAGATGGGCAAAGTGGACGATAGGATTCATATTTGATTCATATTCTTTCCTGCTGTTTATTTTTCCACATATAGTTGGTCTGCAATACTTTTTGCAGTTCGCCAAACCACAGAGGCAGGAGAATTTTGCTGCAGAGAAAAGGATGTGATATGTTGTCCTTGCTCGTGCGCAGTTCGACATTTGTGGACACTTTCTTACCACAATGATTAGGTATGTTAGACTTGTATAGACGTAGTTGAATTGCATATGCATACTTGGCACAACTATTTTCTTTATTTCACGTGATGAACATTGCCCCATCACTTCTTCCATTCGATTCGTTTCCTCTCATCCACACTCCACAAGCAATTCGAATTTCTTGTATGTGGGTTCGACTGCTGCTTAAAGATTTTTGGTCTTCTTTGGAATGCTATTAAATGCGATTCTTCTTGGAATCCTTGGAGAGCCGTTCCAAGGCTAGGGCATTCTCAAGTCTTCATCACAGGCGACAGTCTTTGTCAACCAAAAGAAGCCCTTCCCAGAGAAGTCTGGTGCCAACTTTTTGGCTCCAGGGTCACTGTGAGTATTATTGCCCGTACTTTTATTGGACCGCTGAAATCATGTATTGCGAATTGGTTAGAAGTTCATTACTAGAATTACCAGCGCACGCATAAGTGTGCTTTCCAAAATTCTTACGTACTGCCGTCTCTTAATCTAAAAACCTTTCGCTGATATTGTAAATTGCGCCGTATTCAGACACATTTATTTTGAAATGTGCAGATTTTACAGCTTACACTTTATGCATACTATTTTTAATCCTTATAACACACAACCTGTGTGCTGATTTTTAATGCCGTTATGTTAGCAATCTAAACAGAAGTACTTATTGCATTGGCTGCGTAGACCTATTCAGTATGAAATGAGGCAGATCTAAAGTCCTGAGATTCCGGCAGTTTTCTATAGCTGCGAACACAATGTCCGAATCTCTTCGACACTCTATCGGCTACTTGAACCCCTAGAAATGCCGATAATTTTAAGGTATACTGGAACTTATAAAACATTAGTACCGATTTTCTACACATTATCTCGGTAGACATTCAACGCGTTTGCCAAACGCTCTTAGATGATCCGATGAAACGGCCGTACGTATTTCATATTTAGCCATAGTGCAATTACCAGATACTTTCTTACTGGTGTGTAGGAGATTTCTGTATGTGCAATCGCCTTCAGTTCACGAAATGAATAACGCTGTCTCATATTTGTGGCACTTTTGTGGGTGTGCTGGTGAAAGGCTACTTTCGCTCTATAAAGGACGCGCGACTGGTGGATACACACGTCTTTGTCAGGGTTGAACAGTCAGTTGCAATTCCCACTAGTAAATTTAACAAGTTGCCTGATGTTGTGCAATCTTTCATGGGTTTCGTTCTCTTTCAAGCGTAGGTGAGTCAACGACTCCTTTAATCAATCTCTTGTTATTATGTTGTAGCTAGTAACATGGCGTCTATGAGAAGTACAGGATCTTGATGATCTCTCACAGACGTAACTCATCACACTTGGCCCCCCTTCTTTCCGTATCCACCTTTCTGTTTCGCAACCAGATCTGCAATATCAGCCATAAATATTTCATGAAAATCGATTCAGTGCATTCAAACAGAAGTAACTCATCAACACATTGTTTGTCCTTGGAGATACAGTGGTCACGGGGCAACACACTGCTTGACCACTTATCGTCGACTTTGTCATCATTGTCCTTATGCCCATCCCCGATCCATTTTAGATTCATTGATGGAGGATATAACAGCCTATACATTGTATTTTATATCTTCAGCATCTTCGTCGCAGCTGACGTGCAGTCTATCGTCAATGAAGTTCCATTCGCTGACATTGCGGAAGTCTGTAGAATTCAGTTTTTGACTAGTAATTTATTGTTCTCTTCTTTAAAATGGATCACGTAATGAATCGTTGTTATAGCATGGATTCAACGGGTATAAAGAATATGGAAAAGTGCTAAAACGTGCTTCACATATATTGAAACTGACTACCAAAGGACGACAGCACAGTGGCTGGATAGTGAAGAGTTGGGAACGTTCCGGATTCACGGGATGTACACGGAAAAAGAGAGGATACCTAGAAAGTGAAAATTAGCAGAAAATACTTGTAAGACGCAGATTAATCAAACTAAGAAAGCAGGATAATCGGTTTCTAGAGAAGAAAGCATTCAAGAGAGTGATTCATCATTTTTGAGTAGGTACAGGTCGGAATGGACGGTATGAATCGCATATGATCGCAAGGTGCACCGCTAAAAACTAGTTGTCATTGGGTGTTCGCAAGATAAGGCGTTATCGCAAATGTACTAGAGATGGTAAGTTAATAATTGAACACACATTAATATAATTTTATTAGTCAACAAAACTGGAGAAAATATCTAATGTACAAACAATTAACATTATAATTGCACATTGAAATGATAATAACGCTATCAATGTGAACATGAAACTTTGACTATGGCAGTTGGTGAGTAGCACCAGACCGACGGACATTGTTGGCATCGTCGTCTTCAGTAGTAGCTCTGGCATTTCGTTACGTACTCTCGTCGCTTCTCACACGTCAGATGTGGATAGTAGTTTTCGATGAATTCGCAGTGCTCTGAAAACTAATCGCGGTTGTTTTGTCACTTTTTTCTCCGCGCTCATCTATTTGACGAAACATAGATTCAAAACAGATACAGTTTCATGTAACTCATTACATTTCACAATGCTTTCTGTGCATGCCCTCAAGAGTTCTTTTGTGCTTTCGCACAAGTATGACTGAGAGCTGCTCTCCAAGATAATCTCAAACCTTATTCCAAGACTGAACGATTTGATGACACGCTTGTCAGAGCTCTACTCCTATTACAATTTCTCTTCCGAGTTACTGCATCCATCACATAGGAATTCTTCAGTTGGGAACAATCCACATAATCCTACGACCCATGCTTCTGTTTACAAAATTGGGAACAAAGGTTACCACAATCGATGCAGCATTGAGGAAAGTGAATATTTTTGTGGAGTTTTAAAGCTGCACTACAAGGTTAGCGAAGTAGTTCATTTCGTAAATAGTGAAGTTAACTGCTAGACTATAATGAAAAGCAAAATCCACCGAACCATTGGCCAGAACTAAACAAGTATTGAACATAAGGACCTTATGGTGGTTCATAAAGAAATAAATTGATAATGATTGCTGAGGCTACTAAAATGTCGGCCACAAAAATTAATGTGTGCTATTGTTATGCCCGAACGACAACTGACGTAAGTGAAATGTAATAATACCTTCATGGATTATTAAGCTAACACGAGTTTGACAAAGATATTTATTCCGCTAACGTTTCAACGTCTTCATTTTCCTCGGAGCCGATGAATCGAGTCGATGTCACAATCGTTCATCTTCTCGATGTGGTGGCCTCGTCGATATATCGAGTCGGATTTCTCCTCAGTGCAGCATCGCTCGAATAGGGCAGCCTCACCCGGTAGCGCTCCTTTATACAAAACGGTTGTTGTTGATAATGATTGCCCATTGATAATAGAGCGTCTTGGTCCAGTGGTGCTCCACTGAAGAAGACCCGACTCGATACGATGACGAAGACACCTCATCGAGAACGCGAACGACTATTGACCATCGACTCAGATCATCGGCTCTGAAGAAGATGAACACACCGAAACGTTAACCGAATAAACATCTTTATCAATCCCTTGTTAGCTTTACAATTCAAAAAGCTACTGATTAATAATGCCGAGGTTGAGTGATAGTGCATTCCGGGAATATTGAAGTGCATTAAGTTCACCACATGGTTTTGTCACAGTTATTACTTCCCGTCGAATTCTGACTCATATATTGGATAATTGTGCTATAGAAGCTCCGCTTTTAAGAAGTTCCGAAGCCTTAAGTAATGACGAGTGAGACATGCCTCGTGCAAACGACTTCACATCATGGAATCCGAACTGCCGGGCAAATGTTCGAATGTTCAAGCAGTGCCGGCGTAGTGAAGGCGACTCAACATTTGTGGGCGAAGTTGAAGCCTGCAATAAATCGTCTTCGATTTCCTGCAGATAATGAGTTCGAAAAATGAAATCGTTCATTAGGTCAGTTACTAATTATATGAAAATATATGTGTTTATATATAGTCTATATATATATATAATATATATATATATATATATATATATATATATATATATATGTCCACCTATCCGTATATGTATACACACACATATATATGTATATGTGAGCTGCACTTTTGTTTCTGACATCAAATATGCATAATTCTATTGGACGTCAACTAAAACTCAATTTTGCTCGACTTCGCTTTAGGGAGAATGTACCTTGGTGTTCTTAATTATTCGCTTTCTCGTTTTTCTAGTGTGAGGTCGGATTTCGTGGTGACGTTCAGCAGTTCGTTCATTATTCTTCATACTGCTTCTCATCTCTTCTTTCAACTTGTTCATCTGCAACGTCCTTCTGGTGAGAGTCAACGGTGTGGCGACATCCTGAATTCAAGATGCTACCGTCTGACAGTGGCGTCATAGAATGATAGGAGCCTAACCATCTCGTTAAGTTGTGGATTCCGAATGCGCTTTTCGTCGCTGAATTCGATCTCGACGCTTTTCGTTTCTAATCTGAAAAAAATTATTGCGTTCCTATATTTCATTAATTAACATTCCTTTGTTTGGCTTTTGAAATTAAAATGAAAGCAAAATAGTAAATATTCGGGAGACTTCGGATAACTCCACTTTAGAGTAGCAATCACAATGATGCTGAGATATCTGCGAAATTTGGACCCTAGCCCAGATCGAACGACGATTACCCTTTCCGGGCACTCTAGTTTACACACTGCGCCACCGGGGCCCTTGGGATGGATGTTTCTATGTGATAAGAAGAATCAAATTACATCAATGACAAATAGAAAAGGTTCTGATGAGCCCTTTGTACCATTTAAGGCTGGAAGTCACCTAATGTGAGAAGCAAGAAGACAACCAAGTGCACATAAATCTCTTCCATGAATTCAACTTTTGCTTTTCTATTTAATGAGGCTATATTATTTCTGACCAAAAGAGGCTATTAGAATATTTTGAAGAGGAATGATTGCGATCACGGCGATGATTCCAATGAGGTGAAGACAAGAATAATCCGCTCTAACAATGGTTTCTGAAGACTAGAACCTATTTATCCATGTCCAATTTAGCTGAAGACTACATCATTCGTCTTGAAATTCTTCTAAACTTTTATCTGTTGACCATAAACGGAGGTGATAGTGCTGCTACTAGTGGTGAAACAAAGCGCGCTAGATATTGCACAAAGAGATCCATTAGATACCGTTAGAATGCGAATACGACGATCCACCTTGACGATATGAGGAATGAGATGGATGCCGTCAGAGACGATATGTACTCGTAGCAACTTCGCTTGCGAAGAATACGATAAAACCTACTAGTCAGTACTGCGACATCATTTGATGCGTAACAACGTTTCTGTACCCATTCAATTGTCCATGGATTCGTGCCACTGCATAAAATATTCCTTCTATTGCCTCCAAACTAATTTATCAGCAAACGATTCTAATGAATCCAGGAGTGACATTTGCCCAAAAAAATAAAGGAAACAAACAAAAATAAGCTAATTAAGCAAAAACAGCATCATGTAATCGTCGTCGTTTCGCGCAATCTCATGACCTTCATTCTTAGGCGTTAAGAAGCAGTCAAAAAATGGCTGGAAAGTTTATACGACTTTTAAAAAATTCCGGCGAGAAGAGTCGCTGTACGTATTCGCGAATAGTAGCAATTTCATTGCCCAAGTAATAGCTCGCACAGCTAGAAGATTTACATCTCAGATGGTCGAATGTCGGCTTTGACTTTGAAGTATGTGTCACGATCCTCGCACGCGAATCAAGAACACAAACGCGAAAAACTCTCGAGGCATTCTGGATTAATTCCAGAAATCCGAAAATGAACCGCAGGGAAGAATGCCTCATTATCACGCGTGATATAGGGCAGTATATAAGACTGCTATTCCGATGGGAGGGGCACATTATGCTTCCATGTGATTTCTGTGCGGTTGGTCTCTACGTGACATACTTAGTGGAAACCTCATAGAAA